AAGCATGATCATCCTTTTTTAAATAATAAATATTAAATACAGACAAATATTTATTCAAAATCTGATTTTTAGAATTTTTTAGTATTGAGACCTCTATACTTTTTGTTCCAAATTCTTGAATTGTTTTACGCTTATTATACTACTTAAATATAGTGCTATATGCTTATTTAGGCACAATTAGCATTTGTAATTTTTTGGAGGGAGATGGCTAAACCTTTAATCACTTTACTACTTGCTGTATAACCTGCTGTTGAGACACAAAGCACAGAATAGATTAAATTTAAATTTAATCTATATTCTGTGCACAAACTTCCATTTTCAATTAAGAACCCCTTTTTCTATCGTAAATTATTTAGAGGCTTTTTTTTTAAATTTTAATGTAGGTACCTACCTAGCTCAAAATTCAAACGAGAAGTTTAGAGTTATTTAACTTAATGTAGAAGTTACGGGCAAAAGTCGAAATCGGGTAAACCTCTGAACTGCCCGTGCAAAACGCAAATCGTCCACAATCCTTGAGCAAAGTGTCATATTTAGCTTTTGCCCGGGCAAACCTAGTTGAGACCAACCTCATTTGGGCAAAACCGTTTAATGGCTTTATTGGAAAGCCCAAAGTATTAATATTAAATGTAAATATTTATTTATATCGTACGTATATAGTTATTATAATTGTATGATAATATTTATTTAAAATATTGTATGCCAATTATATGATGGTAGATGATCTGACAATAATAAATTAACAAGATTAGGCCCGATGGTAATTTCAAAATGTTAGTGCGACTACCAAAATTTATTAATATATATGAATACTATAGATAATAATTTGTAAAAATGATCTAAGAATAATAAATACTTGATCCAACATTAAGTTAATTCTATGTTTTTGTAAAATTATACTTTTAAAGACTATTACATCCTTAGTATAATCATATTAATAAGTTGGTACCTATAACTATATAAGAACTATCTTTAATAGCTATATTATAAGCCTATATTTATTCTAATTTTGAATTGCGGGTAGGTATATCTACCAAAAGGGTACCTATACCAACATCCACATTGGCGTCCGCAGGGCTGCCCCCCCATTGCCGTATTATTGTTTTTATATTTACTTTGATTTAATATAGTTTCTTAAATCGTGTGTTTACCTATTTATTGCAAGCAATGTAAACCATATTGTCCTAAACTGGCTATAGTTTATAAACTCCTAAGGTTCATAGATAATATTTTATACATTCCATAGTCGCGGTATTAGTCACGATAAAAGACACAATCTTTAGCCGTGCCACAACTATAGTCTAGCTATATAAATCTATAATCTATTATGATAACAAATTGAACCGATGTTAGCAACACTATTTCCGTCTAACCAAGCATCGTTATTACGATGCCCGAGTTAACCTGTGACAACTGAGTAATTATTTATTTTCAAGCCTCCCTCCGCACCGTACGGAGTGTACGACGACGTGACGGTCGGCCCCCATCAATTGAAAAGTCTTGCGTACGCTACTGCAGCCTATATGTCTTTTCAGAACAAAATTACACTCTTTTATGGAGCACCTACAACAAATTTGAAGAATTATGAACATATATACAGAGCTTTAAAAGTAGGTATATTAAAAAAATCCAAAAATTTGAATTTGAAAAAATATATTTTTTAATTTAAAAAAATGGACAAGTGCTAGCTGGATACCGCTTATATAGCTGTATAGTATATATATATATAGGCAGTTGTCAAGTACCTATTATACCTATGTAATTTTAATGAAATATAATATGTCGTATTCGTATATGTGATATATTTGAAATCAATAATAATAACCATATTGTCATCCTATAGTATGAAGTTGAATAATCAAATTAATATAATCCAAGTATATAACTAAAAAAATCTATTATTGCTATAAATAGAGTAATTTTCGGGTTAATTTTTTTTTTGTTAAGGTATAGAAGGTAAAGCATTTTTGATGAATTTTGTTAAAATTTTAACTTTAATAATGAAATTATTAGTTTTTATTACACCATATATTGATGAAATATTGAGAAAATAAATGATTTTCTTGAATAGATATATATATTGTAGGTATATCTATATAGTAGTTTCTGAGTTATTAAAATGTTGATACTATAACTTATTATAGTAATAGCAGTGCTTGAAATGGTTTAGAAATAGTTATATAAGCTAAATATTATATAGTATACTAGCTATAGCATATATATTATATAGATGTAGTAATTATTGTTCTAAGACCGTTTTTTATGATTGGGCCAAGCTGCAGAGTGCAAACAGTTTAGTTCCATATAAATGATGCCGCAGTGGCACAGTCCACAAGGAAAAAATAATGTTGTTACAAATTATTTATATTGATGGATCAATAGGTATATGCGATATTAATAAAATCTCCCAAGATGCCATAGATAATATTCTTGCCTTTAATTTTATAATATAATACTATAATATAAAAATAAATTTTATTAATTCACTCTAATTTTACAAATTATAGATTAAAAGTATTAATGTGCAGATCATATAATTATCGGTGTTGTTAGAAGGAGAAAACAATAATGCCCATCGTGTGTGGCGTTCTCTTAAACCTCAACATATTGATAACATATATAGGTACCAATAGGTACCTATCAAGTCAGTTATATTGTCAGTACCTACTTATATCTTCTTATAATCCACTATATCCGCGCGCATAATAGACATAATATTACTATAATTATATATATTATATACCTAGTTAAATTTATATAGTTCAAAAACTACTCTTTCGATTTTTTTTTAGATATATATATGTATAAATGTAGACAACGTTCATAAGTAGTACTTCACTTGTAGTAAGTTGAAATTAAAAAAAAAGTAGAGCGTAAATCCACAAAAATTTTAATGATCGTTTTAAGGCAAATTAAGATACCTATATTAACAAAAAAAAATTGTGAGTGCTGCTTCATACATTAATT